AATGCTCTCAATTTTGGCCTCTATGTTTGATCACCTCAAAGCCCAAGCCCCCACTTCTGAAGCCTACAACTCTATCTCTAAACAAATCAACATGAGTTTTCAGAGTGTGTTCGAACGATTAACAGATTTTCAAGCCACAGCTAGACTTAAATTGGATGTTGGGCCTTCCGACGCAAGAGGGAGAGAAGGACCAAGTTGCAGAGGTAAAACAATCCAATGGAAACCTGCCTCAAAATTCACTCTCCGAGATGAATCCGATGAAGATGGCCTAATCTGGGTTGAATCCATGGAACCTCCTATAAAAGATGAAGAAGAAGAAGAAGAAGAAGATGACCAAATTAAAATGTTGTTGTTGGACTTCAGCCTCCAGAATGTCCAACGAAGGTTCTCTCAGAAGAAGGAAAGAGGATATGGTATGTTGTTTCTTGGCCATCATCCTTGGCAGATGTGCTCCAAAGAAGTCGCAGAATGACATAGATCATGACAAAATTGACTGTTGACGCCTTCTGAGCTGCACAATCCATGTTGCTACCAATCCCAACTCCGAGAATTGTTCCGATCAATGAAGGTTCTCCCTATCGGAAACCAGATGATCTCCCTGAAGAGCCCCTGATCACTCCTCCTCCATAATTCATCATCTCAGAAATGGTACAACAAGTCATTGCTGACTTAAACGATCAATCACAAGATAAAGGGAAGGAAATTGCTTCTGAACCAAACAGCCCTGAAAGGACGCTAAGGAAGTCTGAAGGTTGGTCCCATGAGCGGATTGATCAAGCACTGGAAGAAAGCAACATGATTCAAGCCTTGAAAGATAATCCGAATCTGTTGGTGGGCATATCCCCCTTTTCCGAGAAGGGATCATTTACGACCTCGACATTATACCTTTCATGTACTTTGATCTTCCCATAGTAAACTACGACCAAATCGATCTTCCAATCTCTCTACATAGAAAATTCTACATCAAATTCGCTCTTCTTCATCCGAATGATGATCCAAAAACTATCATCGGGTCAGAGCGAGAGAGATTGAGAACATTCTATTCTGTTAACGCACGTCCTCAAAAAGAAGTGTGGTCTCAGAATCTGATCACCAGGATCGTTGGTTTCTGAAACAAGGTTCAAAGCAAATTTGATCTTAATTGCATGTTGTACAGATATTACATCTCTCGGAACAAGGAAGCTACTATCACTATCACAGATGCTGACTTTCCATCTATCAACCCCAATGATATTCTCACAATTTCAGCTCACCTCCTAGATCGCCAATCCAATCATTCGAGCATCGGAGCTGATAATGCTGCCATGAACTTCTTGAAGGACTATGTAGCTAAATTTTACAGATCCGACATCGAGTTCGCACACTTGTTCAAGACAAAAAATGTGTTAACGAAGATAACTTATGAACTGCCTGAAGCTTAAATCTTGGCAGAAGGTCCCATTGAAGAACCTGAGCTCGGATACGTCTATCTGAAGAAGAAGACCAACCGAAAAGAATTTTTCCGAGTTCTTGATAAACATATCGTTCCTTCAAACATCCTTCAAAAGTTCATCGTCAATGCTGCTAAAAGTGACGCTCCTGAGCCTGTGAAGAAGAAGTTCATTGATCAACTTAAATGGTATTTAGAAGTACGAAGCTGGCTGCACAATGCATATATTTTTGTATCTGAGGATGCCAACTGATTTGATGATTTCTAAGTTCACTTTGGGGGAGATTGTTAATGCATGAAAAGTAAACCTCTAGCAATCCGAAGCAAAGCAGATCCGAAGTCAATTCAAGACCGAGATGTGAAGAGCTCCTAAGTCCTTTTGAATCCGAGATGAAGATATTTCGAACTTTGAGTTTGTACAAGCATTTAATGTTTTTTGTCTTTAGCTGAGGTAATAGTTCTTAGAACAATTTCAGCAAATGTTTTAAGTTTCATATTTGTCAAACACTTATCATTAACTAGTCCTTAGAATGTTTCTCGGTTTGTACTATGTATATCCCTTACTATTTAAGGAGTAGATGTTTCATGTAATATGTACCAAGAATATAAGTAATCAATATTCTTTTCACATCATTTCAAACTCTCTTGCAAGTCAAATTTCTTTCACTTACATTCTACTTGTTCTAAATCGTCTTTACTTTGATTATACTCGGTTTTACTTCATTTTACTTCTTGAATACTTTGTTGAATATTATCTTCAAGTCTCGACTGGTTTACCAGACTTGACTAGACCAACATATTAGAAGCAGACATTGATCTTAAAGGTTAATTCAAGGTTTGAGTTTTCAAACCTTGTCCGTGCATTGAATCTTGTTCTCACATAGACTAATAATTAGTCGCAAGAAATATTACACTAAGACTTAGTGATATTCATACTAGGTTACGTCAAAGGAAAAGACAGTTACTAGAAGCGAAGTGTTGTTTGAGTTTTGAGTCATCACTTTAACAAGTGAGTGTATAGTTACTTTCATCTTACACATAGATATGAAGTATTTAAGATAATTACATGCTATATGTGTCTATTATTTGTGTTCCTGATATTTATGCTAGATGAACCATTTATACATGTTTTACATGATTTAAACTGTATATGTATTTTTATACCTATAAATATATTGCGTAAAGATGGGTATATGAAAGATGATAAAGATGATGAGAGATGAAGGATGAAATAGATGATGATAGGCCTTGACTTTAAAGACGATCTAGTCATCTAACGGAGTATAGATGACGACCACGGCTGTTCTAGACAGACCAGTGGAACGTTAGTTGGCTCACAACCAGTAGGTGTTTTTGAACTAAGTGTTCACCAGGTGTATTCCATACACCCCTCCCCTCTTGGTTGTCTTATGGACATATTTGCTAAGGAGTCCCTTTAGCATTATCGTCTATACCGAAGATAATCCTTAGGGTAGGTCCCTTGAATTAGATGTTTTAGGGACATAAAGTGAGGATAACGGGAATGTGTAATTGGGTGGAATTATTTGATTAAAATCAAGAATTTAATTATTGTGGGTTGAAAACCCTATATGCTCACCAGGCTCCTAAGCTCGACCCACTCATTTTCTTATATTGCAGGTAGTGGCACAAGAGCACATGTGTGATGAACAGATGAGAGATTTATGGTTTATAGGCCTGTAGAATAATAGATGTTTGTAAGGCCTATACTATTTCCATTTATGCTTATGTATTGTATTGACGATGACATCCCAATGTTTTTAATATAATTAAAATATATTTCTTCAGAAATGCTTTGATAATATCTTTATCATATTTTGGGTACAAATTCCGCAATATTATTCTTCAAAAAGATACTGTGATTTTAAATAAAGGATAAACAAATCCGGTTTTTTCTGGCCGTGAAATTGAGGATGTCACGATTGACTTTTACCGTTTACTTTGACCATGGTTGACTTTTGGTCAATTTAAGGGTTTTAGAGTGTAGACTGAGAGGGTACTCTTTATTGTTGTTAGGTGCCTTGTAATATCGGTCTTCGTTGTATAGGAGTTGTTGTGTTTAGCTGCTATTTGCGAGGTGAGTCTTCTCACTATATATGTATGTGTGGTAGTGTATACATGTTGACCGGTTAGGTCTTGTCTGTTAATTGTTGTGATATATAAACCGAGTTGCTGATAACTCCTGGACTACTGTGAGTCCATGAGACTGATGATAGTCCTCAGGGTTGCTGATAACTCATGAGATGTGTTGTTAATCCACAGAGTGTGCAGTTAGCCCACTGGGACTATTGATAGTCCTCAGGGTTGTTGATTACCCATAGTTGTTCATATTGTTATGTTGTATGTGATATTCTGGACTACTGATAGTCTCAGGGCTGTTGATAACTCATAGCTGATTATTATGCTGCGTTGTATGTGATATTTTAGGGAAGTCATTAAGTTTTGTGTTTACAGTTGTGGATTAAATGATTTACAAATACTTATTGGATTATGAAGGCGGGACTGTACACACACATCAACAATTTTATGATTTGAAATTTTGCATTGTCTTCTTTATAACTCTGGTTTATGAATAATAGTTTATGAACAAATTGTCTAATCTGAATGTAACTTTATTAAAAATGGTCGTTTATATTATTTTAAAAATGAGAAATTTAGTCTGAAAATTAGGACGTTACATATGACCTACATCTACGGGCATGAGAAAATATTTTTATTCACAACCTTAAAAACGATATTACTTTGCTACTTGACCTTTTTGAAAACCTAGTTATAAGTCTTTATTTATATGCAAAATACAACGTAAACCCTAGCTAGAACCGAACCTCCATTCCGCCAGCTAACCGACGACCAAGCTATAATGGATTGTTAGCTAGCTAGCTACAAGTCAGCCAACTATTGATAAACAAGCTACTTATCAGGCAACTCAAGTCACGTTTAAGAAAATATTTCATTCTAATTATTTATTCATTTATGGCGAAAAAGACATTTTTTATTCAATTGTAATACTCCATCTTGTTCTATATTCAGCTAGGAGATAGCAACCACTACCTTATAATAGTAGAAAGCACACTGTTTAAATAACTGATTGTCTCGGCAACGAAACATTCCACGTAGTTAGAATTTTTATAATATAAAGAAAAAGGTCTTTTGTTTAAAATATATGTTTGAGTACCATTCTCCATATAAAACAAATAAGGGACATCACTAATTAAGTATTTATTTATTTAACAGGGTATAAATATAACTCATCAAATAATACTTATTAATTCCCTGTCATTTGGTCATTTAAAGTTAACATATTATCATCAATAGAAAGTTATTGAAAACTTTAAATAAATAATACAAGAGAAGGAATTCCCGGTTACAATTCGACTTTCCAAGAATTATATTACAAATTCGTTTTATTGATATAATTGTGCACTAGAATACAAAGATCATTTGTAGTTGAGTAGGTGACACACAAGAAATAAAGCATATATCCAGTGAAACAAACATAAAAGATCCAACGATGTTTACTCTCAGAAATTGTATATATATACTTATATGAGATTTAATTTGAGTTAACGATGTGACTGTTCTCAATATCTTTGGTGACACTAAGGCATAAATCCATCAAAGTGCGTGGGTCTTCAATATTTTCTTTGACTTTCTCATAGTCGAAAGTCCAAGTTACCAAGTTCCCTTCTCCCATGATGTCCACGTGTATTGTTACCAAGAAGGCCTTGTAAGCCTCCATTAAATCACCCCCAATCACCTTGAAAGACAACGATCTTCTATCATCATCGATCGCTTGAATCACTTCTTTAACCACTTTTTCCTTACCATCTAACATTTGATTTGAAATATATTGTAAATAGTTCACTTAGAATGAAGAAGATGTTATTTTGTTAAACAAAAAAAAAAGTAATGCATATCAATGAGCTTACCATGGATAAAGTTCCAAATGATGACTGATCCAACGACACCCCATTCACCATCATGCAAATCAACATCTTTTATGCTACCGGGACTCATTTCAGATATACTGTGTTGTTTATATTTTATATATTTCATAAAACAGATCCCCGTCTAGTCTGATTGAAACCTGTTTAACCAGCTTACCACTTAGAACCATCTCTCTTGATAAGTGAAAGAAGAAAAGAGGTGAACGATGATAAATGTTTGAGCTCCTAGCGGCTTTATATCGAGTGTTTAGCTTGGTTATTTACCTTTATTTATTTATTATTATTTTTTTAACTCCAGCTAAAATAGATAATGTAAAAATTGCCACTTTGAAAATAGAATATGTTTGAAAACATCATAATTATATTATGTTTAATAACAACCAGTTACAATCTATATTTTCGTAAATAAAATATGGTCTCTTACGTCTATTTATACATCTATACGCAACTACGTCCAATTTATTTATAATTTAACATTATGTTTAATAACAACCGGTAACGATCTATATTTTGGAGTTGATAAGTTCTTATGTTCTTACAATAACTCAGTTATATATATATATATATATATATATATATATATATATATATATATATATATAATAATCATTTATCTTCTCTCTCAAATAATTGAGCACTCACCTAAAGTAAAGAGCTCTTTGGAATTCTTTGATTGCTAGGATATGTCGTGAACTGGGGAACACGTTCTAGTGAGCTTAAAATTGAATTGGTTCATGATTAAAGGTTGTCTGTAGATCTCGCTGCTGAATTTAAGTGGACAACAATATCATTGGTCATCGTCAGCAAAATGGTCTATTTAGGAATATAATCACAATGTCTTGTCATTTATTATCTGTACAATTTGTCAATATCATTTGTGTTTAAGTGGACCACAATATTGGTGATTGACCAGAGCTAAACTTGCAGGTGTTACTGATAAACGATATTGAATTGTTTGACAACTTTGATCCCAAAAATGTTTTAGATTTAGTTATTATTTTTGTTTTTGTTAAATTTCTTCATATTTTTTCTTCTAGGCATAAATTTAGGGGGAGAATTAAAATAAAACAAACAAACAAAAAAAATCATAAAATTTAAAAATCCAAAAATATGTTTATTTCTGTTTTATTTATTTTTAAAAAAAAATCAAAAATCCAAAAATATATTTTTTTTAATTTTTATTTTGAGTGTATCTTTTAAAATTTATTCTATCGTATTTTGTCTTTGTTTTAATTTATGAAACGAATAAAAAATTAAGTCCATTGACATTGAATTTGGTGGGCCAAAAGGCCGAGAACCCAAAATTTTAGGTATAAAAGGTTTTTTTTTTGTGTTTTCGGCTTCATTTTTCAAACCCCCACTAAATTCATCAAAATCTTTTCCGTCTTCTCTCAAAACCCTAGGCGATATTTCTTGTTGTTCATCGAGAAAAATTTCCTTCATCTTCGAATCTCACTTAATTTCTTGAAATCTACTCTAGGTATGCATAGTACGAACATTGTGCTTCCATTTTATTACGTTTTTGAAGTGTTTGCAGGTGACTAATGGAGTTTTCTGGCGTGTTGACGGTGGTTTCCGGTGATATGAACCGTTGGGTTTTCTCAGGTTTTCGGTTTGATCCGGATCCGACAAAAAAAATCTTTTTGCTTTGACCGAAAACGTTTCATTTGACTGAAATCGAATTAATCCACCCGAAAACTAATTGAGCTAACCGAAAACAACATTGTTGACCGAAATCGTTTGGTCAAATGTGGTTTGACCGAAAACGATGAAAACTGTGACCTGACCGAAAACGCATAGAGTAGTGACTTTGACCGAAATCAACAATAATTGAGCAAACTTTAAATTTACAATTTTTATTTTTATTTTAGTTATAAATTTATTGTTCTCACTTATTTTGTCTGGTGTAGATAAATGGCGGAACAGTTGAAATTTGTTGATACTCACAACATCGCAGGATATCTTTTGGATCCACCAGTCGCGCATAATGAATTCAAGTCCATGATCGCGGGTTTAAACAATTGCAGGATTTCCCAAGCTTTGTGTTCTAATCCAGTCATTTACAAGGACCAAATTACTGAGTTCTGGAAGAATGCTTCAATCAACAAGCATGGAGCAAATGGAGTTGGTTCTGTTGAATCAATGGTGAAGGGAACTCAAGTAATTGTTTCCGAACAAATTATCCGAGAGGTGATTGAGTTTGGTGATGTATCTGTGTTTCCAATTTAGTATACTGTTAATCAAGTAAAGGGAGCCCTTGAAAGGATGTGTTATGAAGGAACTTATCCTCCCACCATCAAGAAACTGCTGCCACCTTTCTGGAGGTTTCTGGCACATTGCTTTGTGATCTGCATTTCTGGAAGGAAAGGAGGAGTTGATGAAATTAGTCAGACTGCAACCTCTGCTATTGTGGCTCTTGAAATGGACTGGGATTATAATTTTTCGAAGTTTGTTTTTGAAGAAATGAAAAGCAATCTTCAAAGGAAGAAGAAGGACTTGTTTTTTATGTATCCCAGGTTCATTCAAATGATCTTCAATGAAAAATATCCCCAAATTGAGAGGTCATATGACACTTTAGATATAAAAGCTTTGGGTCCATACACCTTTGGGCTCATGAAGCAATCAAGAAAATCAGCCAAATTCACTTTTCAAGGATTGAACGAATTGGTTAAATTTGGAAAGTTTTCAGAGACAGCAGGTGTTCAAGCTACTAATACTCCAATTGCTATAGTGGCAGAAGAACATATGACACCATCAAGGTCTAATATCAGTCTTTCGGTTGAAGTCACTATGATGATGATGATGATGATGATGATGATGATGATGATGACTCCGATGATATTAGTGATATGAGTTTTTGTTTGTCTGTTCCACCGAAGGAGCCAGTCAATGAAGCTGTGATTACTCCAACTGAGACTAAGACTGAAATCAATATTTTCAGGCAACCGAATATTCCAACACCATGAACAGATGGATGCACTTATCAAAGAACTATAGTCTACTGCAAGGAAGCATCCCCAAGCAGTATATGTTTCTGTTGAATCTCCATCTGAGAGTGAAAAAGATGAACCAAATGCCTCCTTGGTGCCAAAGAAGCGAAGACGGAGAGATCCAAGGCCAGGAGTGCTTATCACTGAACCAGTACAACAATCAGTTCCCATAGTTGAACCAGCCCAGGTTCTAGCAGATGTTCAAAGCCCAATCATTGAACTAGCCCCAGTCCAAGAAGATGTTTAAGGTCAAATTGATGAATCAGCACAGGTTCGTCAAGACGCTCAGAGCCCCAATTTTGACGATGACTTTAATTTCGTAGCAAATGAGGAAACCTTTGCTTCAGGAAGTTCTTCTGCTCCACCACCTCCAGAGCATGATGATGCATCCATTAAGGTGGCCAATATTTTTGCTTTTCAAGACTCTATTCCTCATTCGAGAGGAAAGGATATATGTATTAGTTCTGGACTAGGAGGTGATGAGGACTCACAACACACTATCTATGAGCTTAGACAAGAGATACTGATTTTGAAGCGGGAATCTATTGAAAATGATCTGCTAATCGGGAAATTGGATGTGAGAGTTTCGAAGCTAGAACAAGAAAATTCTCAAAAGAATAAACAGATCTCAGAACTCCAAGCTAATCTTGGTGGAGTAACAGCTTTCTACTTTGATCTCAAAGACAAACTGATTGGAAAGTTTGGTGATGAGTTCAAGTCATCTAGTTCTGAGAGTGGAAAAGCACCTGAGACTTCTGAGAGGGTGGTGATTAGATCTGCCCCAGATTCCAACATTGATTAATATTTATCTTCTGGACCTGCTACAGCAGAAGAGAGAAGGGAGAAACAAAAGAATGTAAGTGTGTTGAGGAAAAATAAAATGCTTCTGATGAAGAATTCTGATCAGAATGCAACTGGTGATCAACCTCAGATGTTTATTAAAGAAGTTGGGAAAAGAAAATTTGCTGATAGATATTGAGATCGTTCAGGTATTCGCATGTGGGGATTTGAAGCTGACAAGAATATGTGGGTTGTAAAACGGAGGAGCGGAAACATTAAATACTATGAGAAGAAGGTTGATTTTTTGTCTTGGACAAAAGTTGATCTTGCAGAGCTCGTCTATGCTCTATTTCACAATCCTAGAAATGATCCAAATGCCTGGGTGTTTAAAAATTTTCTAGAAGACAAATCGAGGCATAACTTTGCAGGCGTGTCGACAGCGTCCTCATTCGTTAGAAAGGTTAAGGGTGTCATCGATCCGCGCACCAACAAAACCATGCTAAACGTTATGTGGCCACCTACAAAGAAATCGAAAAAGATTCTTCTCTCTCAGTCTATACCTGATGGTTCTTTAAATAATCTTCAATTTTGGGTATATGATGAGGAAACAGCAACCATGGTGATCAAGACCGAAAAGGATCGGTTCCGTCTTGTTGATCCTAGGGATTTGCTGAGACTTGGTGAGCGTGACATTCATAATTTTTCCAGGAAACAACTTCTGGTGAAAAATGAAATGTTTGAGGCTGTTGCGAAAGAATTTATCGGCATGATTGCAAAGATTATTGATCAGAAGTTGTGGGCGGGAGCTTTAGCTGGTTCTGGCGTTCACCTTGTGGAGAAACCATAAAGCTAGCCAGCAATAAACCAAGGGGAGATTGTTGGGTCATATTTTTGTGGTTTATGCTGGGTTTATATTGTTATTTGTTCTTGGGCTTAAAATATTATTTTGTTAATGGGCTTTTACATGTTCTCGGTTAGCTGGAATAGTCTTTGTATTAGGTTTATATATATATATATATATATATATATATATATATATATATATATATATATATATATATATATATTACCGTATAGGTTTTTAGTTGTTGATCAGATTGTTCTCAGTTGTATTAAGTTCTTGTGTACCAGCCAATTTTTCGGTTTTTCTTAATAAAATCGTGTGCATTTGAAGTGAATTTGTGTGTTCTTGAATCATTGCTTAATTAACATTTCGCATTCTTTAAGCAATTAAGATTGATATTGCATAAGATCCATAGTTTTGGGACTTACAATTATTAACTATTATTAACTATTTCTAATTAATATATTGATCACATAATATATTAACGAATCATTTTATCTCTCTCTTAGGCTATGTTTCACAGACTAGCTAAAAAGCTAGCAGATAACGGAAAAGCTAGCTGCTAGCTTATAAGCTATCTGACAG